CGTATCCCATTGAGCTTCTCTATTGACAAGCTTGTGAGGTCCTCTACGCTCCCAGCCTGTACCCATTTCTTGCATCTGAACAAACAAATTTGGATGAGTTATACCATATTCAATTAGCACCACCAATATCAATCAATCATTACCTTTCAACTTCTCGGGGAAATTTCACGTAAATACATTCTTTATTCTTCTGTTGTGCATGCCCGCAATGAGGCACCACGCATTTCGAATTTTTCGGCATTATCTACACAAATAAGGTCGTGATCAAGGATGAAAATGAAAGAATACATCTGCCAGTTCACATGTAACCTCTAAGTGTCTCATAAACGAATTAATTTTTCTACAAAGCTTGATAATTATCAAATGCATAATTTCTATCAACAATTACCTCAATTTATTTCTCACACTGATGCATTGTTTTAATCTTTCTTATTCTCAATTGTTGTTTATTTTTATTTTCCCCATACAAAATAAACGTCACAACACAATAGAGTTTCCAAACAATATGGCGTCTACCAGCGTCTAGACGGCCGTGAAGGTGTTCACATACCCCTCACGGTGACCACAAAAAAAAAAACTAGTTATTACCAGATTGTACCCTGGAGATTAGCAGGTGGAGGGGGTACTTGAAGTGACTGACCCCTGGCGGAGGGGCTCAACCGATTAGAAAATTCATTACTCCCCTCCCCCCTTCGCTCCTAATTGCGAAGAGGGAATGAACGCAACATCTATCGATCGAGAATAATATTCTCAATAAATGACAGTGGTTTCATTCCATTAGTCTCTATTAGGAGAGGAGGAATTAATTTTCAAAACGCGCAATAACTCCGAACAAGTTCTTCCCATTCAAAAATTAGTTTCTCCCCTCCCTAATTGAGATGAAGGAATGAAACCAAAGCCTACAGATTGAGAATTGCATTTTTAATAAATGACATCGGTTTCATCTCTTAATCTCAAGTAGGAGCGGAGGAATGAATTTTCAAAACGCGCAATAACTCCGAACAAGTTCTTCCCATTCAAAAATTAGTTTCTCCCCTCCCTAATTGAGATGAAGGAATGAAACCAAAGCCTACAGATTGAGAATTGCATTTTTAATAAATGACATCGGTTTCATCTCTTAATCTCAAGTAGGAGCGGAGGAATGAATTTTCAAATGCGGGAAGAAACCTCGAACGGCTCTCCGGCGTCGAGTGAGTCCGGAGTAGTCCAA